CCCCCCCCCCCGCGCGTGCCACGGCAGGCAAACAAGTGACAACAAAGCACAACAGGTGTCGCAGCACACTGATGATATTTAACATTCTCCGCGGGTGTTGTATGTGCACTTCAGTTATGTATCGTACTTCTACTGCTACTTCCGCCTCTACCTTGGAATTTGAATTGTTGCTTTTACGAACATGGAGTCTCTCGAACCTTTTTCCAACAAGGGTTGTGTGGACAGGAGGCGCAGATGCCAGCGGTTGAGATAGAAGAATGAACACAGGAAAGACTGGCAGTAGCACATCATGCTACATGCATCAGGGGATCGGTGGGCCACAGCAGGACGAGAACGTCGGGGGTTCAGACTCCAGGTGTGGCTGATGAACATTTCAGCGTGTGACCTGCAGCAAGCCACGCATGCTACTGGGACAAGAGCACGACATGCACTTGACTAACTATTGTACAGTCATCGGAGACTATGTGCGAGATGTGTGCTCCAACACCCGCGGTCTCACCTCCACTACATCCGCGACGGCCTGTTGGGGGTCGACGTTCTCGTCCTCCTCTTCCATGACGTCGAAGATGGCCGCACGCCGGGATCTGTTCTTGCCGATGCCGGACCCGTTGGTGTGGCGGCGCTTTGTGCAGGAAGAACCGCTCGAACCGCCGCTGGAGGACGACCCTCCCCCAGAAGAAGAGATGTCGCGGGCGGGCCTCATTTGCGAGCTGGACGACGACGGAGTGAGACGGTGCTGGTTCTGGGACATGATGAAGGTGAAAGGAAGAAAGGACGGGACAGAGGACGGAAAAATTGTGATTGCATGTGGCGCTGGCGCGTGGCGCGGAGAACTGCCGCAGAAGGCGTTCATCAGGGGAACGAAGGTTGATGAAACGCCCCCCTTTGTCCACCTATCCCTCCACGTGTCGCCACTCTTCTGTCGCCAAAGATCGAGCGATGTCTGNCCCTTTGTCCACCTATCCCTCCACGCGTCGCCCCTCTCCTGTCGCCAAATATCGCCTGCCCACGAGGAAGTCGCTCGCGAGCCACGCCCTCTCGCAGCAAACACATGGGGCGGATGACCAACGAGTTTCCAGTGGAGCCACTCGATCACAGCGAAAATCAAGGAGGACAAGCAGAGTGCAACCCAGCTGCCCAAACACATCACGATAGAACAAAAAAACGGAACCGCTTTCAGGTTAGGGTTGCACCTGCAGATCGCCCTCCGTCGCCCTCACTTGGTCCAGTAGAGTCTCTGACGTGCCATTTTGCCTAGAGTAGCGAAAAGGCAATCGCGAGACAATCGCNTCAAGGAGGACAAGCAGAGTGCAACCCAGCTGCCCAAACACATCACGATAGAACAAAAAAACGGAACCGCTTTCAGGTTAGGGTTGCACCTGCAGATCGCCCTCCGTCGCCCTCACTTGGTCCAGTAGAGTCTCTGACGTGCCATTTTGCCTAAAGTAGCGAAAAGGCAATCGCGAGACAATCGCCTCAGGTAGCAACTGCATGTACCTGCAAAGTTTCAGTGGTCGAGTGACCCAGGGAGAACATGTAAGAATAGGCGATCCTTGTGCGTGTAATTTTCGCACTGCAATGCGATGCCAAGATTGCAGCTAAATACTATACGCTTAAATATAATCATCACCGTACTGATGGCCTCGTCCCACCCGTCATCCGCAATGACCACTTTTTTTTTGTTGGCCGCCTTCTTGGCACATTCCAAGACGAGAGGGCACCCCTAGGCCGTGCAGGAATACCTGCCCCCCGACGGAACCACCACCCTGCCAACGTCGGGTACCGCGCGAATCTGCCGTAAGAAGAGGGCGATTACAAAGAGAAGAATACGGAGTAAGACGGCATTCAGAACGTGTCGGAAATGAGAGGGGAGCAAACATTAAGCGCGCATGTTCTTACAACAGAAGACTCTTCCGGGACTACCGAGATAAACGGACGTCTCACAAGCAACAGAGACAACAACCAACAGCGAACCAAAACAAACAGGAAATCAAGTCGAAAAACAAGTTCATACCGCAAACGTGCTGCTTGCCTTTTGAGCACCCGCATTTGGGAAGCCATGCCCTGATACTCCAGGAGGTTTCACTTCCGAATTCAATTGGCATCCTGGACAGATCATCCTCACTCCCTTCACCCCGCCGAGGGTTGTCACCTGAAAAGAAATCAACACAGGGGGAGAGGGCTCTTTACGCCAGGCCTTGTTCCGATGCTCGTTTCTGTTCAGGCGGTGTCCCTTGTATGAGGTAAGAGGGCTAATCACTGACAGAGACTCTTGAGTGCGGTGGCGGCAGGTCTCATCAAGAGCAAAACTTCCCACCAACAAAATAGAGTTCGGCGCTTTCTGTCAGAACCTCTGAAGGTTCCCGTCATGCAAACTTCAAACAAGAGTTGTGGGCTTGCCGCAGCGGAAGGGAGGGAGGGGGGCATACCGACCAACAACGTCGAATTGGCATGAGCCGATAGATCATGAGCGTGCGCAACACTGTAATCCGTGACGACCAAAATGCACTATCAACAGAAAATTAGTCACAACAACAATTTGAATGTGCGACGACTTTTTGTGTTTTTTTTTCATCTTTCAGCACGCATCTTCGGCACGTGCGCGCAACATCTTACAAAGGCCAAAAGGGTCGGGCACCGTCATAAGCTCCTTCGCTCTTTCATGCACTTGCCTGGAAAGCTGGAATGCCGACCAATTGTTCGAAGTGTTCGTGGGCTCTGGCAACAGTACTTGCCGTGCGGACTTGGGGCTGCTGTTTAACTGGTTGAATTAGCACGCGATAGAGAAGGCACGAAGGGAGAGAGAGCGGAAGGAGAGAGTGTCCCGAACTCACGAGAAAAGCGGGGGCTCCGCGCTCTCACCAAACTGTCTCGCCACATACCTCTCCAGGGATATCCTATCTGCGTCCTACGTAACGGTTACTTTTGGCTTGTCTACTCCTACGTACGAACACCCTCCCTGGTTCTTTGCACCATCGAAGAACCACTCGTGCGTCGGAACTATGCCAAAATAGCTGAAACACAACGAGGGAAATAAAACCAAGGGGAAACCCGGCCGCCGGATCAAAACCCCTCGAAGTCCAACGCTTCAAACAAAATCAAACAANCGGGGGCTCCGCGCTCTCACCAAACTGTCTCGCCACATACCTCTCCAGGGATATCCTATCTGCGTCCTACGTAACGGTTACTTTTGGCTTGTCTACTCCTACGTACGAACACCCTCCCTGGTTCTTTGCACCATCGAAGAACCACTCGTGCGTCGGAACTATGCCAAAATAGCTGAAACACAACGAGGAAAATAAAACCAAGGGGAAACCCGGGCGCCGGATCAAAACCCCTCGAAGTCCAACGCCTCAAACAAAATCAAACGAACCGTCCATGTCATCTATGATTCCAACGGCTGTACTGCAAGATCAAAACAAAAGCGACTTACACCGAACATGCGGATTACGGTTTTCTAAGCAACGCTCTACTCTCCAACCACGAGGTACGCTCCTGGCAAAATCCTTCTTGAATGATGAAACAAGATCCTTGTGCAGCACCAACACTGATTCGTGTATCACACACATGTACGGGCAACGCCCTCCCTGCCTAACTGCATTCCGCATCAAAACTTCATCAGACAGGTACGTTCTCCCTCTTTTGGGATCAACCAAGCGCGATCCACCACCAAATCAAAACCACAAACATCCTGTTTCTGCTGAAGAACAAATCAAACACAACCGGTTTTCCACGAAACCCATCTTCAGAAACAAAACGTCAAGCCTCCTTCAAACAAGGCCCGCAATCTGCAAACAGTCAAAAACCTCGATCTTCCTTCAACCAAGAATGCATCAACTTGCGATTGAACCTTCATGAACTA